ATGGACCAACGCCGCGAATTGTATCCACTACGCTTTCCACGCTCTCCAGTTGCTCAGTAATGTGATTTCTCTCATCTCTAGTGAAGTTGACAATGTGTCAGCGATTGCGCTTAAATGGCCAGTGTCCCAAATAGTGTTGCATTTAGCACCAAGTCCGACCAACAAAATCTGGGAATATCTGTATGTTACAGCAAAAATGGAGGACGTTCCTCGGGTCCAGGATCATTGTTTCATTTCAACACAGTAAGATACAAATCTCTTCCAAATGAATATGGCATCAACTTTCCATATGGGCTCAGGCGATGCAATAAACAGCAGTGTCGAAGCAAATGTGATTGAAATGCTTTTCTAATGTTTCGCCCGATGGACTAGTTGACGAAGTTGAGAATAAGCCTATTAAATTTCTCAGTTATTGTCTCACTAACCGAGGGATTTTTCGGACTCATGATCCGAATGAGCTGGAATGGAACTCGGCTGTTCGCAATAGCATAAGCTTTCGCTATCTCACGGGACCTTGCCACCCGTTAGCAACCCTGGTCGATTCGAACTCATTATTAGTCGTCGTTTCAGGGTGTTACATTCACGCTGAAACGCAGTACCCTTTAGAACCTGTTGCTGTGCTTCGAGTAAACTGATCGAAGAGAGATTACTCAGATCCATAGACGGTTCGGACGTATCAAGTTGGGCGCACAGTAGGCGTCAAAAGCATTTTCATGACACACTTCAGACGATCCCAGTCAGCGTTCGCCTCATCAACTTCGTTCGTGGCTAACATATGGTGAACCAGTTCGTCATGATATTGTTAAATCGCAAACCTCGACTACAAATTACAAAGAAGGTTAGAAGTTTGTGCTGGAATGCAGTGCTGTTGATATACCGATTATGGTTGGCACATAGCTGCAGAAATCCGTCATAGTCGTCTGTTCAGGGTGCATCGATTCCGAAGCGACCGCCCAGATGTTATTCATGGTCTGGAAGGCGACCCACTTAGGCATTCAAGTCACCTGAAACAATTAAGATGTCGGTATATCTCTGTGATACAGAGAAGATATGGGAGCTCACGATAGAAATAATCGCTGTTACCCTCCAAACTGCAGTTAGTAGGGGCAAAATCGGAGGTGATGAAAAGGCGCCTTCTCTTCATACGGTGTTTACTAACCCAAAGAGAGACTTGAAATCGAACAGCGCACATGCTGCTATTCAATAGTATTCAGTAGAGCACATCGCCCTCGGCATGTTTGCTGATGGCCTTCGACAAGACATGTTTGCAGCGGATAGCCCGTGTGTGGTTGCAGCAGCGGGCTTGTAACGATGAAGTCCGGCCTAATCGCCTTATCGTAATGTGTCAATTGAGGTGGCTTGGTCACGTTCTACGTATGTCATGCGAGCGCTTACCACGCCGCGCCTTATTTGCTCGCATGGGATTGAATTGGAAGAGAACGCGTGGAGGTCAGCCAACCACATGGCGGCAAACCACGAAATCGCTGACCTGTCTCGCAATCTTCGGTCCAGTGCGTATTCCTGGTTGGGGGCCAATGATGAGGAATGGAAATGGCTAGACGCACATGGCAATATGGCGCAAAACAGGAACCAATGGAAGGACTGTATACTGAATTGTTTTGAACAATGTGCTCAGGATTATACCATTCAAAATGCCAAAAAAGAACAAAATGGCGTGTGAAAACAAAAAAAAAACAGAAATATATGTTATCTGTCCCTGAGATTTATAATTATTTGCTAGGGTGCTCCTGATGATTTTTCGATGGTTCGGCGTCTATTATATATATATATATATATATATATATATATTTATATTGACAGCGTGCTGACACCATAAAACCTTGAACCATTGACTCAGTATAGCCAGAGACGTGAAGAGTGCCGTCATGGTCAGCAGGTCCGGAACAAAAGAGTCGAAGATTCGTCGCAATGATGTCGCATGCGTGGTTCGGAGACCGAGCACACATGAATACCAAGAGAGTGAAGAGTGAGAGTTTGTGCTGCCTGATGATCGATCTGACAAAGAATGTGGAACCTAAAGGAACTAAGGTGAAATGAGAACCTTGATTTCAATGACGCGGCACATGTATTGATAGCGGGAGCTGCGAGGTCAACAGTAGCCCGTTGCTCAATAGACGGGATAGATGGTGCGTCAATTCACCTACGGTGCTGCTGCCGACGCTCTTCTTTGCCTGGTGTCCAATCCACCCAAAAGCCAAGCATCGGTAAACGGCGTGTGTGTTTTATGAGAAATGATTCTATTTGTCGGTCGTTCATAAATTCTAATCAGAGAAACCATGATCCTCGCATCTTCGGCGTCGAAGCATCCAACAGCGTGAACGCGTTCCGTGTGAATAATTTGCTATCTTTGGTTGTTTCTTCATACCAAGACACGGCTATCGAACACATACTGACACCCACGCAAATTGTCAACTACGCACATCGCAGCTGTGTTCCAGTTCAGTTCAATTGATCAACTACGATCCGAGCACCGAAGTGCGGCGGATCCAGTTGCCACGACACACACAGCATGAATAACAATAAATAGTGGGGATAAGACAAATAGAATGTAAAGAAAATGGAAGCAAGAGGGTAGTGCGTTAAATTAATCAGAATGGCACGGAAATTAACAACCAGATGAAAGAAACCGAATGCAGGAATGCCACTGACTTCGTGACTCCACCATGTTGGGAAAAATTTCAAACCAATGGTGTGGACCATCCCGAGACCCCCAGCCACGAAGACGGCACATAGTAGCCCGACCAAGTCTCTCAGACAATTTCTTCTTGTCTCTATGCACTGGCCATAACGGATGTGTACTGTGGGGAGAACGGGTCGTAGTCTCCAAGAAGCCGCGGTCAGGCATCTTGGATGAACTGCATGATGCACACCCTAGAGTTGCTAAAACGAAGCCACTGGCCCGCTTTTATACACGTCAGCCTGATCTAGACGGGGACATTGTGTCGAAAGTTAGAAGTTGCGTGCTTTATCAGAAGAATGGAAACGCTGTGCCCCATGTGCCAACCCAACCATGGAAGTGGTCAAAAGCACCACGGAAACGTATTTGCATAGACTCTTTCGGTCTTTCCGAAGGTCGGATGATTTTGATGCCCATTCCAAGTGGACTGATGCCCATATCCTGACTACAGCAAGCTCAAAGTAGTAAGGGGAGTTCAATAACACAAGTAGAAAGGCATCAGACGAGCGGAAAAGCACCGTACAGCCGTTTCGTCCTTGCGGGAATCGTCGGCAGTGCGCATTCCATCTGATGATTGTACGGCGAACCCGCAACTCGACGCTTGCCAGACTGTAGTTGAGACCGCGGAATCCAGATGTCATGAATTGCTACCTATACCATTCAAGTCTCTCTACTACTTCTTTATAATCAGTGCGCAGAGTAAACTGCTCATAAGGTCATGATTTAATTAGCGGCCTGGGTTTGGTAAAGTCGTCGCTCGGTGTGGGGGCTACTCCGTCCTCTGCACGGCAGTAACGTGCAAGTCCGTGGATAGTGAGCGACGCCGTATCACGTCTAGCAATTTAGTCACGACGGTTGTTACTGTCCCCGTAGCTCGGTGGTCTCAATCAAAGATTGGCAACAGTCGAGTTGCGGGTTGAGGCCCTACAAGAGTCAAATGGAATGTGCACTATTGACGGATTCCCAGAAGGATGAAACGGCGTGTGATGACTGCTTGACTGAAGCTAAACGTGATGAATTTCGACCTGCACAGCAAATTCAGCTAACAAAATAGTCAAACAGCACACGAGATTTGTAACCTCCAGTCTTCCGGAAACACCAGTGTCAAATAACGGAACAGCATGTACTAGTGCCCAACTTTCTGCCTTTCTTACCTTGTAGGCCATAACACTGCTGCGCCTCATTATCCATCATCCATCCATCATTATCAAATGGTCGAGATCTGTGCAGACAGTGAGGAACATGTTACTAAAGAAACCAGCAACCTCGCTGCGTATGCGTCTAGACCGTGCTCTTATCGCTTACCGAAACATGGTAAACGAAACCACCGGCGGATTCCCCACGAAATTTATGTTCGGCTGGCGGTTGCGCACACGGTTGGATCTATCGCACGGTACTCTTGGGTCGGAGGTTTGGGGAAAACAAGAACGAGCAAAAAAGCGCCCTGATACCGGTAGTAAAGACAAACTCGTGGAAGAATCTAATCCTATCTATGTTGGTTTGCCTACAGACTCCGCGTGGTAACTAGGTGTTGTTGCAACAGCACACAGGCAAATTGTTGAATCAGAGACCGAAGATGGCAGAATCCTCAGACGCCATTTAGACTACGTGCGAATGAGACCGTTGACCTCAGAAACAAGCGGTGAATCGGAAGTGCAGGCACCAGCGTTGATCGACTCACATGAGGCCGACCCGGAACGACCGCCCTAGACGTTTGTACGTCGCTCTACCCGCCAACGCCGGCTAGTAGATCGTTTATAGACCGGAAGGCTCAAAGCACTGAAGGGGTGATACACTGAGCTAAGCGCCTGTCGCGTGCGTGTACTGAGGCCATTGGCCTGTTTGTCATAGCTATTGATTGGTGATTTTGATTTAGCGTCCAGGTGACTCACAAAAGCTTTGACTGCGCGGCCTTCCCCTTTTGGCGTACAGTTGCTCTTGTCGTTCATTTGAATAACCCTCTTATTACGCAGCCGATTTTGCTGATTTCGTCTCGGGGTAATATCTCCGCTGATGCTTCGCTGATGTGAGTCCACAAACGGTTGGAAGAGGGTTAGGAGAATGTAAGGTCACCTGGACTCATACAGAGCGGGGGCTGTGGTGAAGCAAAAGTAGCGAGAAAGTTATCGAACAACAACAAAAGGTTTGAAAAAATTGAGATGCCGGTCTACACGTAGCTATGAAATTGAAGCCAAACCGAGTGTGGCGCGTATGAAAAGCCCTTCAATGTTTGGAAAAACACTGTGCTAATCATAAACGCTGCACAGTAACGTGGCTGATGACTAATCATGTCTTTACTCACAGACACATCCGATCATTCTACTTGGGAATTCTGATGGAACCAAGTTTGGGAAACGCTGAGATGAATCCAACCGGAGTGGAACGTGCTTCACCTCGTATGGATCCTGCGAGGGAATGAGCAAATGAAAACTATTACCTGTTCATCGATGAAGGAAGTAATCAAACTGTAAGCGTTGGCCTCAATCGCACGTGAGAGAAAAGGAAAGGGGTCTTGAAGAGCGACTAAACGGAACAGAATATGAAGAAATTACCATTAGCCGCAGGGGTTTGGGAAGAACAGCGCGCTGTTAAGATTCTTTGAGGTAAACGACAATTGTTCACAGTGGCAGCGATTTGGTATATTTGTCTCAACCCAAGCATCGGGGAGAAGGAAAAGCTGAACACCTAACAACGGTTAGTGTACGTTGATATGCGCCCTGTGATGTGCAGTAATCCGAATGGGAGAAGTTCCAATACGCTAGAAAGAAGAAGAAAACCCGTACCATTAATATACAACAACAGAATTTGTTGCTGCATACGAGCACAGGAAGAACGCAAACACCGGGGTAGAGGTGTACCTGTTCAAATCAAACACCGACTCGGTTCACTTCAACATGAGCTGTGTGCAAAGATGCGGTGGATCAAGACGATTAGGCTAGTGTCACCAAAGCAATAATAATAGGGGAATAAGCAGAAAACAAAACGCTGTAGACCAGCTGGTGTACAAAAAGAAAGATAACGAACATAACAGAACCGATGACTCCATTATTGTGCCACATCCGAAAGAGTATCGCACCACTGGTGTGACCAACCTCAAAGTTTCTAAACAGAAAGGAAACGAGCGTAAACCCGGCTCAACTTGTCCGTATCAGCTTTTCACATCATAAACTGACCACCATGGAATGTAATTCAACTAGGTTTCGTAATAGCATACAACATAGGCCGCTGCATGCGACTGGCGGGAGTACGGAACACACGAATGAACCAGTTGGGGAATAGACAAACTCAAATGACGCGATAATGAGGTGCCAGGAGAACAGCATGAAAAAAAACTCGCCGAAAAATAAGTGGAAGAGCTTCATGGTTGCTCATACGGTTTCCCACCAGAAATGGGCAAAACTGCGCAGGCACCGGTGATAGAGTACGGCCAGTACCCAATGTCTTCAGCGTGCAGTGAACACATATCTGATACATACAAGAGCACTGGTCACCACACCGTACGGTGATCCTACCGGTGGAGCGAATCCCAAAGGTGAGACAGCCACGTAAACAAGCAAACCTATCGACAAATTTTAGTGTTTCTGCCATGTGTGGGAAACCTAGTGGAGTATTGGCGCTGATTGACTGGCATCCATGAAAGCCAGATTCGTGAACAGCAAGCCGGGATTCGTAGAGGGCAAAGTTGTACTGACCGTATCTTCACAATACGTCAGTTGTTAGAACATTGCCCATCGTAGTCGTGTTCTCCCAGATAGAAAGCGTTTTCGAGTTTGTGCGCCCTTGAGGAGTGTATGCTTAAGAAAGGTGTGCCCTAAAAATATGTAAACGTTATAACAGGCTGTACACGCGTAGTTTAGGTATAGTGAGGGATTGTGGCAAACTGTCACCACTCTTCAATATCTCCAGCAGTGTGAGGCAAGGCTGTCCGCTATCACTCTCCCTTTTTCGAAATCGGCAGTCATGAAAACCACGTTTTTGGGTACAACCTACAAGGTGCGGAGCTTCTCCCAGATGAACGGCTTCTTCAATTGGAATATGCTGGCGACATCGTCCTCATTTGTTAAAGATCACAAACGAACTAAGCAGCACTGGCTGTCGATTGTTTCGGGCTATGCTTCGTATCTTCGAAATGCAAAGTCCTACCCCAAGATTGGCAGGGACGACCCAATCGTGTGCTGACCCTTGGCAGGGATGGGTTAAAAGTATTTGAGACATCAGCGGCTATAGAATAAAACGTAAGATCACGAACTGTATAGCGAAAGCTCCGGGCGTCACCTATGGCGTTGGCGCGACCCCACACTTCCGTTAGGATGCCTTACAAATTTACAATGCAGCCGTTCACAGTGGTGAAACCTGACACATCAGATCGACAGACCTACAGATACGTTCGACTATCGTTAACTTCGTAGTTTGTCTTACATCTGGTGGGAACACCGCATGAGCGACGAAAGTATTCGACGTACTGTACTTAGTGCAGATAGAGCGAGTGAACTGCTCCGCATCGTTATTTCACGCACCACACACCGATATCTGGGCCACGTGTTGCGCATGCCAGCAAACGGACTCCCGCGACGCGTTGTTTGCGCTACTTGGCTCTGGATTGAAGGGGGAGGCCAAGTATTGACTTAGTCAGGAGAACTAAAATCTTTCGCTTTGAAGTTAGCGTCGGTTGATGTTTCATGACTCCCAGGGTGTAGTGTCAAGAAAGATGAACACGTTTAGTTGGCTCCTCAAAATGTTCCGCTCAACGTGCTAGTGCACGACGCTGAGGATGGATACACTGCTCGTCCTTCTCATCTATAGTCTCGCGAACTTATGGTATTCTCGGACCCGTGTTCCGCATAAGCTGGAAAAGCATTCGGCTATTTCCAGTAGCACTCACTAGCTTTCTCCATCTAACGAGCCATGATGACCCACCAACGTTCCCGGCCAACTCGAAGACTCCCTGGCAGAGGTCGTTTCAGGGAATTACGGACACGAGGAAACGGTGCTCATTGGAACCTGTTTCCGTGCTACGATCAAGCTGATAGTTGACTCAGAAATCCATTGACAGTTACGACGTCTCAATTTGGCTGCACAGGATGCGTCAAAGGCATTCCTCATGTCACATCTGAGATGATCCCAGTAAGCGTTCAGCTACCAACCTTATTCTTCACTGACAAATGGTGGGCCAGTTCGTTATGATATAGCTGAATTGCAGATTGCGAGTTCAAGGTACAGGTAAGAAGATTAGAAGACAGGCGCTTCTTGAAAGCGGGAAGAGTGAGCATCACGTTCGAATGTATATATGTACTGGCAACAGTCTAAGGAATAGACGTAGATCTCAAACAAAACCATGGGAATGATAAGAAGAATACAGGTTTAACCATCACATCATCATCATGGCGCATAAGCAACATACTTCAGCTATCGTGTCGTAAGAAGAACGGAACTATTTTGGTTACTTTTTTCACACGCCATTTTTAATCTTTTGTCGTTTTTAATTGTTAAGCATTAGACGTCTGAATATAAGCAAGTATGTATACAAATCTTTCACTGGTCTCGACTACGCACCATATCTTGCGATGTTATCGGCATTCTTCATCTTTTGGTACACAACCAAGCAGGCGTGCAGATCCAACGGCAGCAAGATGTGAAGTCAACGATTTCATATACTGACGCCAAGTGGACGGCTGGCCACCGCGCGTTCTTTTCCAGCCAAGCACTGCGCGAACGAAAAGGGCGTAGTAAGGCAAACTCTCAGTTGATATACGCAAAATGTGACTGAGCCATCATAGCTGACGCAGCAAAACAAGCTTGTTGTGGAGCATACTCGCATCCCACGACGTGGAACTTCACCATTGGAAATACGTTGCAGCCACCACGCACGAGCAATCCTTCTCAAGAACCCATTTTCAAAAGCCGAGGCATGTCATTCACGTGAACTGGCCAGGACTCACTTCCATAGAGCAACACTGTACGAACGGTTGAACCGTTCACGCAACCCTTTAACATTAGGGATCCATCCCAACAACGCCACAAACGTTTCAGTTTGACGAAAGCTGACAGAGCTTTAGGCGATGCGGAGAGGAACTTCCTTCTCAATAGAGTCACCAGCAGACACGCAGCTGCCAAGGTTAACAAAGCTATTCACTTGTTCAAGCTGTGTACTTTCAAGAGTGAGCACGGGAAAAGGCAGGTGCCAATATTGGAGCAGAACTTTACACTTCGATGGGACGAAGCACAGACCGAACTTAGATGCATCAATCGCCAAACGGTAGAGAACGGTTTGCATGCTCTGCGAGTCATCACCAAGTAGAGCGATGTCATCGGCATAATTTAAGTCAGTCGCTCGCTTATCCGGCAGTAGTTGTAGCCCAAAACTTTGACAACCTTCTGAAGCTCTCAACAAGACATCTTTAATCGCAAAATTAGAGAAAAGGGGACAAAGGGCAACCCTGCCGTACACCGCTATTGACAACAAATGACGACGAAAGCTGGCCATAGGCCTTCGCTCTGCCGGAGATGTGGAGGTAGAGTGCGCGTAGGATGGTTGTGTACTTTTCTGGGACCGCGTTCCTTAGCAAGAAACGCCACAACGCAGGTGGATCAACCGAATCGAATGTAACACGGATGTCTAAGAATGCAACGATGGAAGGCCTGTGGTAGAGGTGGCGGAATTCGAGAATCTGACGTAGCGTGTATATTTGATACACGCATCCACGGCCATAACGGAAGCCAGTTTGATTTTTTTTGGTATTGTGATTCACAAAAGAGGGAAAGTCTATGAAGCAGAATTGACACGAAAGCTTGGAAGCAACCGAAATGATACTAAATCTACGGTGAATGGTGTATGAATTGTGAGCACCCTTCTTAAAGTTCGGGATAAGAACTGACTCGTCCAAAGAAGAAGAAACCTTTCCTTCATGCCATCTTTTGAAGAACCATGAGGTTAACTGGCTGACGATAGCTGCGCCACCATACTTGAGCAGCTAAGGAGGAAGTCCGTCTGAGCCGGTAGCCTTAAACCGTCTCAGAGATTTAATCGCGAAACATACTTCCGCTTCATTGGTTCGCAGGGCATACAAATGGGCGCTGAGGGCCAACTGAACTGTGAATGAGAATGTTCGGCCCATCGATCCAAGCGTCTGTGTAAGTTGACAATCGGCGAACCATCAGCTTCGCAAATGGTCTCCATGACACCAGGCTTTTTGTGGCCAGTGGATCAGATGAGCTGAAAGAGCTTGCGAGTATCGTCAGACGGAGCAGAGGCCCCCACTTCCGAAGCACGCTCAGACCAATGGCTTCACGATCTTTGCGTAGGCTTCATTTGAGCTGTCGGCTGACAGTACAACGCACTTCATTACGGATGGACTCCGCATGGATATTTCTGAGGGAATCAACTAGATCTAAAGAGCGCGTGAAGATCCAGGTCTTCGTATGATGCTTCGAATGCATTAGAGCACTGTCGGAATCTAGGGAAGTGATCCAAATTGACCTACAGTCTTGGACCAATGTGCGCCGTAGGTAGCTGAAGCAATATGGTCAATTTGGGCCCATGTAATTGAGGGATTCGGTGAGCGTCAGGTGACGCATTGCGAACGTTTGTGCTGGAAAGCAGTGCCGCTAAAGTAAAGGTTGTGGTCGGCGCACAGTTACAGGATTCGATCAGCATGGTCAGTCCGGCGTGAATCGACTCCAAACCGGCCTCCTTAGTGTTGTCACGATGTTGGCATCTTGTATGCGTGCTTCGGAGACATAGTACACAACAATACCAAGA